AGGGAATCCCTATTAATATATGGGTCAAAATAATTATGTTTTGAGAGCTGCTTTCATTTTGGAACTTCAGTGTGATAATGTCAGATCTCGACTCTTTTGAAGTTTTGAAGGATTGGTCAGAACCAAATTCTCTAATTTCAATGTATGAGAATGCAACAGCACAAGCCATAAAAAGATACGACTCAACACAAGTCAACCAACCAATATTAAATGATGAAAATTTAACTCCATAACCACAGCAATAGCATCGGCCAGCAAACCTACACAGGCGCCGATAGCAACTCTGGACAGTTTATTGGACATGGAGTTTGGAAAAGAGCGTTGACTCGGCAAAAGCATGGAAGCGTCCGCTCATCAAAGCATAATTCCGAAAGATACCGGTGATCTTCAGCATGACGATACAAGCGTAAAAGAAAGTGCTAAAACTGGGCGCATACGAAACAAGTGCTGTAGAGCAAAAGTGAACTAATACAAAGGGAGTTTAACAACTCCATGGCTGTGAGTTATATAATGGGTCAGGTGCCAGCTGATGCACTAAAGGTAATTTATTTCACAGTCATTTTTAGAATGTTTCAAAGTGTAAAACTTGTCTATGAGAACGCAGGTGAGGTAAGGATATATGAAATTAACAATAATTAATTGGTATACTTTATACATAGTAATAATTTGAACATTTGTGTATTCCAGGCCATATCCATTCACAATTTCCAAGTGTGTCTTTAGAAGCTTGCGAGGACTCACAACGTTATGAGTGATTATCTCAAATGAAAGGTATGTAAGACTATGTCACGTAAAATTGAAAAATTCTATAAAACAAATATGTTTCAGATCTGCTCATGCAAGTTAACAGCAAAATGAGTTCATGGCTAGAAATGAAAAGCAAATGCAAACTAACGATATGGAAAACGTCGAAGTTGCAACAATGTCAAGACAAATAGCTCAGGAGTACTTGAAGCATTCATTCATATATGTATGTATATGAGTAATTGGATTTAATTTTTACAGTTACGTAATGAAAACATAAATTTAAAAGTGAATTGGAGTCAAAAATTGAGCAAATTCAGGCCTACGAAGCTGTACGAAAACTGGAGCACGAGGAACTTGTAAAATATTTCGAAAATCCGCATTAATGCCAAATGCGACACAAATTGAAAATTTGGAAACACAACAAACTTGTTAGTATAAATCTTCATAAATATTCAGCTTTTACTTACTGACTGTACACTAATTTGCAGTCGTCATTTGAGTGTCATTTAAAATAGGAAAGAACGACGAATTCAGAGAAGTCTGAATATGTTACACGACTCGAACAATGAACGGTAATTAAAAATTTGAACGCAATATGTCACAATTACTGGCAGAGAAGCTGGAAATCAACGATATGGTATGTATTTTAACTAATATATAAATTGTGTAACTAAATGCATAGTATCCCAAATTCTCTTAATTCTAAATCTCATATACACATTTATTTTCACTAAGCAAAAACAATATGTCGATGAAATAAATTGTCTCAAAGTAAATCTACCGTTTTGAGGAATTAGTAAATCAATCTAAACCGATATAGCTTTGTTGAAAGCTAATGACAAAGAGAAAACTGAACTATTTGAGATTTACGCTCACAACGCGCTGAAATGCGTGAAGAACTGATGTACTGCGCCAGCAAGTGGATGTCTACAGTCGTGACTTTCAATTAGAGCGCACTGCACGCGAAGAGATGGCTGGCGAGAAGGTACAACTGATAGACGACTTGCGTGAACTCCAACGCAAAAATCATGAATTAAGCGAACTAGTTAGTAAGTTGGAGGAACGTCAAACTTCTTTTAACAAGGCAACAAGTCACTCCACCAAAACTGCTTCAAGAGTAAGTAGTTGCCAATATTTATGTGCAATTTAGTTTTACAAAAAAAATTAGAAATATATTTACAGGACATCACTACTCTGACACCACCAGCTTCAACTAAACCCCACACACTATTCCAATATGCTCAATTACCTGTTCGTCTCTAACTACTTTGCAAGAGCATGTCAATCAGTGCATAGACCGAATGTGCATACATAAATATTATCTATTATATATTATTATTTCTGCTTCTGATAAATCGTATCGAAGAATGTAGATGTAAAAATATCTACAACTATATATTTATATATATTGTGTATTAATTTAAATTAAATTGAAGAAATATATAATTACAATGTTCTTTGAAATCAAAACAATTTTCGTATGTTTGTGTAAATAGAGCGAAACTAAATTCGATTTTGTTTTGATTGAAGTTTGTATTTTTAATACTTTTCAAAGTGTGGCTTAGCACGCGATTTTTGCTTTATAAACAAATATATATTTCACTAGCGCAGTTTAATAGTAATTAAGTCCATATTAGCTAGTATCCGATTTTTATACAATAAAAATTGTAATTGTAACGTTATCGTTACGGCTACAATTTACTAAGTATTGGAGACGATTCCAACGCCCATATGCGCTGCAATTTCTTATTGGCTACCAAATTACTAAGCACTTTTATATCTGAAAATTACATACGAATTAAGCCATAATCATATTAAATAGAACCTGGTTACCATTTGTACGCGCATACTGCTCAACCATGTGCGTATCTGGCAAAAGGCACGGCGGTGTTTAAATTAGGGTAGACCACATTCCAACTTTTATATTTGACACACGAGATACCCAGAATACACTTTTTCCATCAAACATCGGACCCACCGCTCTGGCCAGCCTGTACGCAGCCATCAGACCATAATAGCGCCCACGGTGAACATTTAATTAGCGCCCTTGAAATAATTGCTGGGTTGAAATCGTATTTTAAATTAAAGTTGACGAAATAAGGAAAGCCAGCATTATAAACTGTCTGACCCAGTGTTGGTTTGGCACCGGATAAACGTACACAGTAGCGCTCGGGAATATTTATCCGGTGCAGCTAACAAAGCGACATCAAAGGGTTGATCGTATGGCGGATACGCCATAGCACTTCCGACTCAACTCACCGTCCACGCTGCCGACAAACTGCCCTTCGAATTTAACTTGTGGTTGGGGAAATATTTTCACAATATAATTATGGCGCAAAGTTTAATGACGTAAATGCATGCAAAAATGTGTGAAATTAGAAAATGGCGTTAGTGGTGCAAAAATGTCAAAATTTAAATGGCGTCCGTTCAAGCAAAAAAATAGGCGATCAAACGGAAACTATTTGACAGTTGTTAACATTGTATAAGTAGATTTATACAATGATTGTTAATGAGCGCGTAATTACAAGCGTTTTTAGTGCTAGTGTCTTATTTTCTATTTAAAGTTAACATTGTAGTATTTTTATTATAATATATACATATACTCTATACATATTACCTTGAATACAACGTGTGTGCAAGTAAGTATAAAACTTTTTGTTCACAGCTTTAATAAATGTGCAGTACTTGGCTCCCCGCTGCTTCAATTAAACCATAAGCACGCTCCCCTGCAAAGTAACAACTTTAATAGCACTGTTCAAAATACGCATTATTAGATTAATTACATGGAAATTTGATGAATCTCTTGGTACTCGCACTGAAGTATCATTTAAACCTAAGTTGCTGCATGAAATCGCGCAGCAAATACGCAAAGTTGGCGCCAAGGTCAAATGACATTTTTCTGCTGTCGCTGAAAGGAAGTGCACATTATCATACTATTAAACGCCTGAAAATGCAAAATTTTACATTATTACATTTCCCGTAAATGAATAAAACGCTTACAATTTGTTATTGAAACTGCCGCACCCTCACCCAGCGCCAAAGCATTAGACAGCACAAAGACGAAACCATCGCGGCCCATAACATTTGACACTTTGCCAATGCTGATAGTCTTATAGAAGTTTTCTAGACCGAATGGTGTGCACATCACCAGCACATCGTCCCAGTGTGTGTAATTGGCTGCAAACGAAGATAGTGTGCAATATGTCGTAGAAAGCGTTCGAAATTCTCTTTTACACCGTCACAACGCATACTCAACACAAGAAAACTCGAAGCAGTACAGCATTATGCGTTTCGGATGAGCTATCCGTACGATCGTTGTTCAGGAAGCGCATACATAGTCGTGAAATCTCCGCTGAATTGAAGAGATATAACAACTTGGCGCAATATCGTGTGAGATATGTGGTGTTTCGTCGTGCATTCGACATTGGTTAATTTACGTCTATCGAATGTCACCTGATAGTTCAGCGCAACTTAAATGCTTCGCCTCATCGCTACTACCTTCCTGCACATTATTAACTTGCATTGATGTAATTTATATATGATTTTGTGTGGGACAGACATCCTCTCTATCGGTCTGCGTTTGAAAGGTGCCACTGGACGCACATATGGCTGCAGTAGCATCCTGAAGTTATGATGATCTCATTATTGATAATGAATGCGGATTGCTTTGTCACTGGATGATTGGTGATCCCAGTAGTGCATGCCTGATCTTTACACATTTTTCACTATGTAATTTATATTCCAAGCATTAGACATTAAACCGGTTTAGTGAATTCGTCAGGGTATTTCTTATGAACTCTCATTCCTGTTTTACTTGTTTCGCTTGTCTCTAACCATCCATTTATGTGCGTATAATTCCAAGCCTAACGACAAAATATTGTGTTTATAAGCTTTTGCAGCTGTGCATTGTATTTACCTTTGCCGTCGCAAGGTGTGCAAATATTTACTGTGCCAGTTCACCAATATCAGCGTGGAAAGTTTTCGAAATACTAATTTGTTGAACTAAATCGCTTAGCTGCGTTATCGTACGGAGTTACTGCAGATTGTCGAGATCAGAGTCCTATTTTTTGTTTATTTTCTTTGTTTTGCTATGATTTTCTTTGTTCATATGTAAATGAGGGATTTTTTCTACAACTGAGAAATTTTGAGATACGTGATTTGGAAAGGCAAACCGATTACTTTTCGGAAAGTCTCGAATATATTTTCTTTGACTAGTTATCATTACTTTTGGGAAAAGGAGTATTTTTACTATAATGGAAAAGTGAATATATTTAAGTCCAAACGAATTTGATACATGATGGCTTTAATAATACTTATCATTATATAGAATACAAGAAAAACGGTTTTCACTTCGGTTAAACTGACGCTATAATACAAACAAAAAAGGTTTCATACAAGAACTTGATTTTGATCGTTTAGTTTGTAGGGCGCTATATGCTATGTGGTCCAGTCTGAACATTTGTTGGGATTGTAGTGCTGCCTTAGGGATGGCATAAAATGTGTGACATAAAGGTAACAAAAGTTCCCTCAGAACTTGATTTGGATAGTTTAGTTTGTGCAGAGCTATGCTGTATCGGTCTAATATTTGTTCGAAGATTGTACCGTTTATTTGGATAATAATCCTTTCCAAATTCGAAAAGATATTTTGTCAAAAAAAATACATTTTCTACAAAGCTTGATTTTGAGCAGTTTGTTGGCAATAGAGATCCGACCGATATTGCGGTTCCGACAAATGAGCAGCTTCTGCAAATTTTCAGATGGATATCTCAAAACTGAGGACTAATCCGCGTATAATACAGACAGACAAAAGACGACATTGCTAAATCGACCTCAGTCATCATTGATCCCTTTTTAATATAAATTTTATAGGGTCTCCCACATATCCTTCGTGGCAAATTAAGAGTATAATTTAAGGACTTACCCATAGCTAAAATTGATAGCCAACTCAAGACCATTCGG